CTTCAGGAAGGACAGGGGTTCAAAAGGTGGAGGTGTGATAGTGTATGCGAGAGATGATTTATCAGTCATCCGAAGATCAGATTTGGAGAGACCCGATGTCGAAGGCCTGTGGCTTGAAATTACACTGCCAAAATCCAGAAGTTTTCTTTTTGGAACGTGTTATAGGCCTCCGAGCTCATTAAAGCACACTGATCCCAACTTCATGAGTGTTTTCTCAGATACAACCGAGTCATTATCTGTAGAGAATAAAGAAGTTCTGGTTTTGGGTGATTTTAATTGCGACTTTTCTGCAAAGAAGACAACACAGCCTGAGTGTAAACAGATGAAATGTTTATTCAAGTCCCTGAACTTTAGTCAACTTATAATTTCTCCGACGCGGATTGCACCTGAGTCTTCTACGTTAATTGACCTGATTGCTACAAACAATCCTCAGAACATACGATCTTCTGGCGTGTTGTCCTCTGGCCTCAGCGATCACGAACTTATCTACTGTGTTCGGAAATTAAATTGGATGCGCTTCCCGTATGAAATGAATACTTTCAGGAATTATGCAAATTATGACCAACACAAGTTTTGTAAAGATCTTAGAGATGTTGACTGGGAATCTGTGGTGAAAACAAAGGATTCCCCTGGGAATGTTAATGGTTCGTCAGTTGTAAACGATCTCTGGACAAGTTTCAAAGGCTCATTTGTGTCCATTGTGGATAAGCACGCCCCATTGATAACCAAAAAGGTACGTGGTCTTACCTGTCCTTGGATGAATGGATTGATTAAACGTGGAATTCGTCAGCGTGAGTTCTGTTAAATAAAGTTAGGCGTTCCAATTTGGATGAAGACTGGTCGGCGTATAGGAGATCTCGAACTCGTGTTACAAAACTTGTCCGTGATTCAAAAAGTAGATATAGCAGAGAACTCATTGATGAAAACAGTGACGATCCTAAAAAGTTTTGGAAAACCGTTAAGCAGATCAAGCCTGGCCAGAAAACAAAGCGTGTTACCAGTATTGATGTTAATAGAACTCAAATTTACGATGACAAGGAAATTGCAAACAGCTTTAATAATCTCTTCACTAAAACTGTGGACAGACTCGTTCAAGTTTTTGGACGATGTCTACCATCTGCACGATCATTCAAATTTCTGATGTCACGTCCATCGTACACTTTCCGTTTTGAGGAAGTATCTATCGATTTCATCCGTGATCAACTAAAGAAGCTCAAAACCAAAAAAGCTGTTGGACTTGATCAGTTACCTGCACGTCTGTTAAAGGACTCAGCTGAAATAATTGCCAAACCGTTGATTATTCTTATTAATGCTTCTTTGATTTATGGTTACGTCCCCTCTGAATGGAAATGGGCACGTGTAAATCCTTTGTTCAAGAATGGCAAATCAAATGACATGGATAATTATCGACCGATATCTGTACTACCGACCACATCCAAGGTTCTGGAAAGAGTAGTTCACACGCAGTTGTATGATTTTCTGGCTAGAGAAAAGTTATTGAGTCCCTACCAGTGTGGCTTCCGCAAGGGCCACTCTACTGATTTGGCTGTCTTATCATTCACTGACAGCATAAGGCGCAGTATGGATCAGGGTCTACTAACTGGTGCAGTTTTCATTGATTTGCGGAAAGCGTTCGACACAGTAGACCATGACCTGCTACTGGAGAAACTCACGATGGGATATGGAGTCACTGGAAAAGAGCTTGGATGGTTTAGGGATTACCTAACCGATAGACGACAAGTGGTGACAGTCCAAAGTACTCTGTCAGACCCTTGTGATGTTGCTTTTGGTGTGCCGCAAGGTTCAATCCTTGGACCATTGTTGTTTGTGCTGTTCATCAATGATTTATCTACTGCTATTAGCAAATGTAATATATTATTATCCGCTGATGATGCTGTTGTTTTTGCAGCCCACAAGGACATTGAAGTCTTGGAGGAAACTTTGAATGCCGAACTAGATGAAGTGAATAAATGGACTCTCAGTAATTTTCTTTTTACCAACAAAAGAAAAACAGAATTTGTAATTTTTGGAACTGATGCTAGAGTTTCTAAAGCTACTGACACAGTAGTTATCAAAATAGGTGATTATGAAATTAATAGAGTTTATGGTTTTAAGTATTTAGGCATCGTTCTTGACGATAGTCTTACGTGGAAAGACCATGTTCGTTATGTTATTTCTAAGGTTGGTAAAAGAGTTGGTGTCTTAGGGCGCCTTAGAAGGAATATCACTATACATGCAGCTTTTGAGATGTATAACTCATTAATTTTGCCCATTTTTGATTATTGCGGTGTTGTTTGGTCCAGCTGCAATAAAGCAGATATGGAAAGTCTTGAATCTTTGCAAAGGCGGGCCTCGAAAATTACAGTTAAATCTAAATGTGGTTCAACATCCACCGACTATCGTAAATTTCAGAGTTTAGAAGATCGCCGTAACGCTCATATGTTAGGTTTAGTGAAGAGGTGTTTAAATAATAATGTACCACAGTTTTTAAAGAATTATTTTAAGTTGAATAAGGAAGTTATGTCAAGAGAAACAAGAAGAAGCAATTTTATATACTTACCTGCAGTAAGAACTGAGACCGCCAAGAAAAGTGTTTATTATAATGTCTCAGTTGTGTATAATAATTATTTAGTAAATAAGAATTAGTTTTAATTGTTATACTGTACTATTATTAACTTATAGTTACTGAGTTTTTTATTATTTATTTTGAACTTTTTTATTAGTCTTAATTTAGGGCGCCTATTGATAACAGATATACTTTTAAGTATTCTGAAGGGATTACCCTAGTTAAATAAAGGTTTACTACTATTTTAAGAATTACATGTAAGTGTTTTAAGAATTTATGGCATTTGGAGATCTAGTTTTCATCTTTTATTATGGAATGAGTTAATGTGTATTAATTTTTACTTTATCTTTTTTACTATCTAAATATGACATAATTCAACTCTTGAGTTCCAAAGTTATATAAATAAACTATCTATCCATCTATCTACATGATATAAATGCTTAGGAAGGGATTTCCCTATTATTTTTATCATAGGTTAGATTGTTTGTTAATAACAAATTTTAACTTCTTAAGGTACTGGATGCAGAATGCAGGTTACACCGGCAACTGTAACAGGTTCAGCTGGAATTACACAGACGAGTTCTTCTTTGCATGAAATTATGGATCTCCAGCAAAAAGAAAAGTCTGCAAATGAAAGCCCACCTCTGCCTCCTGATGGACATAATAGGTTTCTAAACGAGGCAAGCACAGCAAACACAGGAACACTAGTTACCTCCCCTCCACAATTCAATGCTGCAACAGATAGTACATCTCATCATTTTGAGAAGTCTCCTCACGACGTCAGTACAGCAATGGCTTTGCTGTTACTCTCAGACAAAAAATTAAGAGAGCTGAAAAACCAGGTCACCAGGATACTGGAGTCATGTGATGGACAATGCCTGGAGCTACAGAGGTTTCAAGCAGTGTACAAGGACACTTTTGGAAAGAGGTTTTTGATTCATTATAGGCAGCTGGAATTTATAAATCTGGAATACATCATGTCATTGCTTGATGATGTAATTTTACTAGAAAAATCAGGAAAGAAAATTATCATGAAACTGAAAGATCAGGCAGAACAGAACTATATGAACAAGGAGTCAGATTCAGCAGGTTCCAGTACAGTGGTTGAAATCTGGGACACTAATGAAGATCCCAAGATAAGAACAAGTATGTGTATAACTGTCTTTTAACTGAATGAATGACAAGCATATGACTTCATAGCTAAGCAGCAACTTTTCAACCTCCAGTGGTTTTAATACCTTAAGTGTGATAAATAAGGATTGTTGTTATTAACTGTTACTTGAGGTAGCTGTGCAAGTACATTCCTTTGCAAATTGCAAGTATTGAATCCTTTGTTTATCAATAGTCACGTAAATTGTAACCTTCCTGTTTCAGTGAGTATTTTACTAACAGTACTATTTACTACCATGTAAACTCTGGCAATACCACTCAATATGGTTTATGATCCCTATAATTCACTGGCTCTCGCTTTTGGAATTCCTTGCCAACAAATATAAATAATTTAAACTCTCTTGTAAAGCCCTAATGAACTCTATGCTTAGTTGTTATACTAATGAAATATTTATCTGCCTTAACAAAATAGAATGAAGTAATACTTATAAAAAAGCAAAGTTCTATAATTCTGTGTGTATTTGTATATTTGGGGGGTCATCCACTAGATTCGCCTTTGCTATTTGGATGACCCTAACTTGCTCCTTATCTAGATGTTTCAATTTTCATTCTTTACTTATAATTTATATACATACAGTGTATTTAGTTGTCTTTGCTAATTGAATCTGAATCATATCTAAAATCAGGTTGAGTGAAATAAATCGTCTTTTATTGTCTTTTTGCAGTCTTGCACTCCACCAAATAAGGTTACTAAACTGGTTACGGCTGTAACTCTTTTTTACGTAACTGTTCCTGCTACAGATAATTATGTCAGGAATTCTACACAAAATTCGAAGGTGTCTGATTTGTTGTATTTTTTTTAAGGGTTATAATTACCTGCCATTATTTTTATCACACATTTTTTGTAACCATTTTAGGTAGTGGATTAGGAAATATAATGGGCATAACACCACCAGCTGTATCAGGAGCAAGTGGAATTACACAGTCAAGTCCTTCTGTGCATGAAATTATGGATCAGCAGCAGGGTCTGAGAGAAAAAAGTGCAAACGAAGGCCCATCTAAGGCTCCTGTTGGATGTGAAAGGCTACTTCATGAGATGAGTACAACAAATACAGGAACACCAGGTAACTCCTCTCCACAGTTCAATCCTGCTCCAGTTGGAACATCGGGTCCTTCTGAAACGTCAGTTCACCACGCAGCAAGGCCACGTCACCTTCTCTCACTTAAAAAGTTGAGGGAGCTGAAGGAAAATGCCACCAAGATACTAAAGTCCTACGATGGACAATGCTTAGAGCTTCAGCAGTTTAAAAAAGTATACAAAGACACTTTTGGGAAGAGATTGAAACCAAAAAGGATCGAAGAGGCCATGCCATTACTAGATGATGTATTTGTACTAGAACAATCTGGAAAGGAAGTAACTATAAAACTAAAAGATCAGGCGGAGAAGAGGTCAGATTCTCCTCAGAGTGTGTCAGGCAATTTACTAGGTGAGTCTTGAGTTGTTGAAAATGAGCCATCTATGGAAGACAGTGCCTCATAGAAGAATATTCACAGTATACTTTATTTTGATAAGGGAGATCTGCCCTATCCCTGACCTGTTTCTGCTGCTGCATTTAAAGTATCAAATCGTACTCCATTGTCGACACTAACACAGTTAAATTCAGTAATCGTTATTTCAAAATCGAATTGAAAAGTAGCGCATAAACGCTAGTATCTTGGAGAGCAGGAAAACAATACAATGAATCATGAAAATATATGATCACTGATGTTTATGTACATTCTCGTAAAACAAAAAAACCGCATATACACCGTACAAAATGATGCAGGTTACACTGATTAATTTGACTATAACTGGACCCAACTGATAAATTGCCAGCTTTTAATTAAGTATCTTTTTTAAACAAAATGGATTCGTGCACGTGATGGAACAGCAAAAGCGGCAACTTTTTTTTGTTTACAGGCTTTTTTACAGTTGTTTGCTGCCTTGGCTTTTGAATGGAGGCGAGGCTGGAGGTGACCTTGTATTGTAACAAACCTTCTTGTTTTTCATGTACATGACATTTTCATGGTAAGGAGACCGTAAACATGATTATTTTCAGGTGAAAAATGAAAGGTTTGTAACAAAGCATGTCGCGCCTCCAGCCTCGCATCTATTCAAAGGCCGGGGTACCGGGCACACAACTGTAAAATGGCCTATTTTCAACTGGAGATAAGACCGTTGTTGTCCAAGCAAGTGCTTTCCCCAGCATTTTGGTTATGATGAAGACATATTTTAAAAACATTCGTTAATCAGTGTTCTTATTAACTACCAAGTAGGAAAGTAATTTTAACTATTTTTCCATTTAGATGTATCAGACTGTGGTTAAGTCTTTCACATTGGACCCCTTCAAAATTGTTCTGAAAGCGTGAAATGGCTGCAGTTAATTTTAGTTCTTTGTTCCATTTATTTCTGAAATCACTGGTGATCCTTGCAATCCGATTGGCGCTCTTCAGTGAGGGCTGATCAGTGTGATTTATTCGCGTATCGCCCCATATTTTGTTCTTCATGTCAAGTGTTAAATGGTATCATGTTGCTTTGAATTGCATCCTTTCCCTTTTGCCTACAAAATATGATGTAAAAGGGGCTTCGGTTCTGCAAGCAAACTACGCGAATGCCAGCAGCGCGTAAGACTTCGTACATGCTCAAAACCTTACCGGACAGAAACCGCTACTAGCAGGGTAGTTCTGCTTAATTACTAAACGGCTACTGGGTTAATGAAATATCATGTTTTTGGGCGATTAAGGTGGCTCCGTCATTGATACAGGCGCATTTTGCTGTGACGAAGAAAACTGCCAAGGGATATTTTAAAAATGTCAAGGAACAAGTCTTTCGACGTCACAGCAAGGTTGGGAGCAATTTATAGTGCTTCTAAAACTAAAAAGTACCATTCAAAGAATAGCACGATAGGCAATCGGCTTTTGTTTAGAGAATTAGCAAACATTGAATTTACTTGTCCCGAAAATTCGAACTGGTGGCTCCTTGCACCTGATAGTAATTTATTTTTGAAATTCCAAAACAATTTCATAGCTTAATTTTTAGCGACTTTTAGTTACAGACTTCTGCTCCAACGACTTTTGTGAAATTTCTCTGGCATATTTATTATATCAATAAAAGCCGATACCAGAAATTTCAGTAAGAAATATCAGCAACATTTTTTGCTAGACGCGATTTTCTTTGAACAGTAGGGTCCTTTTAAGCGCTGATTTCTCAAGAAATATTTACCATCAATGAAATCGGAATATTTCACATTATTACCGAATGTCTTTTGTTGTTCTTTGCAGAGTTTCGCAGCCATTGAGTTAAAAACGAAAAAGTTATGACGGAAAATTGGTCACACCTAAATGCTCCAGTATTAATGACAGAGGTACCTTAAATAGTGCGATTTCAAAATGGACGTAATAAAGTGGTAATTCAACATCATGTCTTGCAATTTGGTCTGAAATTATATTTGTGATTTTAAATCCAAGTCGCTCTAAGTGCTCGTTTTGGTTTTGAAACGACGTGTGTGATTTCGAACTACCTTTGTACTCCACTCTGATCAATCATCATAAGTTTGGGTGTCTGTTAATTTTAACTTCTCTATTAGGTACTGGATGCAGAATTCATGTAGCACCTGCACCTGTAGCTCCTGTAACAGGAGAAAGTGGAATCACACTGCCAAGTCCATCTGTGCATGAAATTATGAATCAGCAGTGGGGAGAAATGCCGACAGATGAACGGCAATCTTTGCCTCCTGTTGGATATGAACGGTTGTGGAATGAGATAAGTGCAGCAAACACTGGTACACCAGTTTACTCCTCCCCACAGTTAAATGCTGCAACAGTTGCCGGCCCTTTTAGAACGTCGTTACACGACACCAGTAAGGCAAGTGGTTTGCTCTCAGATGAAGAGTTCGAAGAGCTGGAGGAAAATTCTATTCGGATACTGCAGTCCTGCGATGGACAATCCCTGGAGCTCCAGCGGTTTAAAAAAGTGTACAGGGACACTTTTGGGAAGAGATTTTTGAAACCTAAAAAGCTCGAAAAGGTCATGCCAACACTAGATAAAGTAATTGCAATAGAGCAATCTGGAGGGAAAGTAAATATAAAACTGAGAAGTCAGGCTGAGAAGGGGTCAGATTCAGGAGAGTTTCCTCAAAGTGTATCAGATAATCTAGGTGAGTCTCGAGCTATTAGAAACGATCCATCCGTAGAAGACACTGCATTGGTTATAACACCGTAGAGACTTCCACAGTCACCTGTTTCTAAATCTTCTTCCACTGCGAACAGTAACACAGCCAAATGGTATCAGGCAAAAATGATACAGGTTACACTTATTATTTTATTTATCTATTATTTTGCCACACACAATGAATTACAAGCAGAATAACAACGATAATAAATAGGTTAATTAACATTAAATTTAAAATTTTTACATTACTTGGGAGGAGTGACTGTGGCGGGGAAATCTCCGAGAAGTCAGCTTATGAGGAATAGAGATTTCCCCCCACGGGCAATTTAATTTTTTTTACTATAACTAGGCCAACTTTCCACATTTACAAGTTTCAAGTATCCCTTTCAAACTTAATAGATGATGTGCCCGTGGTGCCACAATAAAAGTGACAATTTTTCCTTGTATTTGTCAAGTTTGAACTGTTTGAACAGAGGCTTAGCCCAACATTAGGCTAGGACAAATGGAAATTGAGAATCAACGTAGGTTGAAAACATTTTTACCCACAACAGTAACGAAATTTAAAGCAAGTATTTTTCCTAATAATTTTATCCTCTTTATCTAAGTGTTCTTTTTCAACTTCTTTATGAATTGGACGCGTAATTCAAGTAGCACCACCAACTATAGCAGGAGCAAGTGGAATTACACAGCCAAGTCCTTCTCTGCGTGAAATTATGGATCAGCAGCAGGGTCTGAGAGAAAAAAGTGCGAACGAAGGCCCATCTATGCCTCCTGTTGGATATGAAAGGTCACTGAATGAGATGGGCAGAGCCAACAGAAGAGCACTAGTTCACTCCTCTCCACAGCTGAAAGCTTCACGGGTTAGGGAGGTTGGCACACCCGATCCTTTTGGAAAGTCCATTGACCACGCTCTTCAGATAATGAGTACAAGCACACCTAAAACTAGAGAGAACTGTTCTCTTCAAGACGTTAATAGAGCAGCGGAGGATATCATTACATCTCTGTCGGAAAATGGTAAATTTGTTTCCCTTGAGGTGGTAAAAGCCAGACTCTGCCAACAATTCGGGAAGACGAATTTCAGTGCATTTGGATTTAGAAGAGACCACGCTGTTCCTGCCCTTCATGATCTTATCCAACTGCAAGCCAAAGTGAGTAAGTGTAAGCTAGGAACATACAAGCGTAAGCGTGACAGGCAGAGAATATAGTCATACTGCTTGCAGACAAGGGACGGGTGTATGGATAACATAGACTACAAAGAAATAATGGACGTACTTGTTAACGACAAACAGACCTACGACGTACTTAAACGAGACCCAACACCCGCACTGCACAAACTGCTTATACTGAAGAAAACCGAGAAAATTGACTTTCGACGCTACAGCTGACTGAGGCGTAGTGTCCTGCGGCCGCCCAAGCTGTATGGACTATCGAAACTACACAAACCCAACGTACCTATGCGGCCCATAGTTTCTTTCTGTGTGTCCCCGACTTACCAACTGTCTAAATATTTAACCAACGTACTGAAACCTTTGACTGACGAATCTAGACATAAACTACAGTCTACCGAGACCTGTATTGATGCCATTAAGACAATACATGTACCTGACGACCACAAACTAGTGTCTTTTGATGTGAAATCACTGTTAGCCAGTATTCCACTTCAACTGGCCAGACTGTACTGAGAACGCTATTAAGAACTCTACTGTTGAACTACCACTACCTACAGACGACATTATGGACCTACTCAACCTGTCCCTAACTTTGCACTTTCAGTATGACGGCAAACACTACAAACAGTTACACGGTACAGCTATGGGCTCTCTAGTAACTGTTTCTGTTGTTGTAGCAGAGATTGTCATGCAAAACATCGAGGAACAATCCTTACCTACTTATACGCGAACTAAAACCTCTTTGGTTAACCTACGTTGACGACACTTTTACCGCTGTACACAAAGACGAAATCGACGATTTTCACGAACACCTTAACAGAGAGAACGCGGAAATACAGTTTACTAAGGAAATCGAGGAAAAGTGGTAAAACACGTTTTCTGGACTGCTTTGCCACCCGCGACAACAACAGACTACGAACGACAATTTACAGAAAACCGACGCATACCGACAGATTACTAGACCAGTCATCTAACAACCCGACCTTTCACAAGGTCACAACTATGCGGAATTTGACGAGACGAGCGCAACTCTTTTGCGACTTGCCTTACAGCCTACAAGACGAGACTGACTACCTAAGCAACGTTTTTAGTAAAAACAACTACAACGCGGACTTTGTCAGACAAAACACTCACAGTAACGCCGATTCCAACACTCGGGCCATCGTTAACTCTGGCCCTGTAACGACAGCGACTATACCGTACATCAGAGGCACCTCTGAAATTATCGCACGTATACTACAGCCTTACAACATACACGTGGCACACAAACCGATAACCACTTTACGAAGACTACTTGCTAATGTCAAGGACAAGGACAAACCGGCGGACAGACAGGGAGCAGTATACAAGATCAAATGCTGCGACTGCCAGGCTACTTACATTGGTGAGACCGCCAGAAACCTTGGCACGCGACTGACCGGACACAAACGAGCGACAAGAAATGGTGATGTCAACAACGACGTTGCTTTAGACCATTTACAGACGACACATCAAATCGACTGGGACTCTGCAACATGTATTACGTATTCTACAGACTGCTATCAACGACTCACTTTAGAAAGGTGGTTTATTAACATAGAACAAACACCACTGAATGGTAGTCAACAGTTACCAGGACCATACAAAGGACTTATTGAGGGACTCAACCAAAACTTAGCACGAGAAAATGACTGGACAACGGACGACTTCACTAACAATAAACGACTGTTAAACTGTGACAACAGACGGATCGAAACGCACCAATGACATATCGAGTCTTCATAGCTATTAACATCACGGCTTAACTGATATACGACCAATAACACCGCGACTTAATTGGCCAATCAGGTCAATAACTAGAGTGTGATAGCATCAACTGACGTGACACAACTCACTTTCACTATGAAGATGACTACCGCACAGGTTGTCGAAACGTCAGTCACTGTCAACAATTGTAGCAGTCTTATTCAGGACTACGTTCGCCCGAACGATCATACTCAACCTGCTCATGAAATGACTCCTGGGTTCAAACCTTTCACAACTTTGTTGATAAAACAAAAAACACAAACAAACAACAACAACAACAACAACAAAATTTCTAATGAAAATGTTCTGTAGCAAGGGTAGGCATCCTTTGCACCTTCTTGTTCTTATTATTCCCTTTACTCGGTGACAAACCTTTCCATCCCCAAATGAAGTACGGTGGCAATACTGAAGGTTATCTGTTGGAATTCCATGCCTGGGCACACAATCACGCATAAAATACTGACTTTTAAAACTACCGTTACATCGATGACATTAAAACTACTCCTTGTCCAATGGCAGGTAAACCCTTGACTTTCCCTGAAGAATAATATTTTGATATGAAAGATCTTAACTGCTTTTTATACACAGGTGAGCTTGTTTGTTCATGCGTACGTGATGACAAACAGTATCTGCACTCTTCACGAACTGAACCAGAGCCTGGCAGACTTAGGATCCAAGTCAGACTTTGGTGAACTAAAGCTGGGTCCCCTGTTACAGCAGCCCGTGGTGTATAACATGTTCAAGGCTCCATCAGATCTTCCATCTGTGCCTAATATAACAACCATTCAGATCCTAAAACATTTGGACAAGTACATGACTCAAGAGGAATTAAAGCGCAAGAGAGTCGATTTGAAGAATTTTCTTAAGTACCTGTGTGAAAAGCAAGACTGTGATACTCCATATGAACTTGGAGTCCGAATACAGAGTGTTGGATTGGCAATTTGGGTATGTGGAGTAATGTATCAAACATACACAAGACACTGTGTTTTATCACATAACAAAAATCGAGAGTGAAATTGAAATGCGCGTGACGGAGTATTTTTAGACGAACTTCGAGAGTTTTGATATTGTTTCGCTGGTACGTGCTAAATCCGCGCGTGTACGCGAAAATACATTCCATATGCACATTCTCGGCTGAACTATCTATTTAACAATCATAAATCGTACCTTCACCACAAAGAGTGAAGTTGCGGTTTCGATCGGAGGGAGTCAAGATCCAAAAGGTTAACTTGCGAGAGTGGCTTTAAAGGGAACATTTCGTGGCTGTATCAAAAAAAAAAAAATAAAATAAAATAAAAAATGAAAAACGCCACCTGGTACTTATCCTGTAAATCGCGAACTTTGATGGAACGTTTGTTACATTTGTTTATGCGTTCTCGTAATGACATTAATTTTGTACTTGTATTTGTATGTTTCGAAGGCATTGTAATGCAACTTTGATAACGGTGAACACAATGAATTACAGCTAGCGAAACAGATATTGCGATGAAGTTTTGAGTCTGAAGTTTTAAATTCATCACTGCAGCGAGGGTTCATGCACTATTTACTAAAAGCTGGAACATCGGAACACCTCAGAACAATCGGAACACTCTAGAAAACCCTCGGAACAACTCGGAAAAAGAAATTTTAATGGGTGAAATAAAAAGGAAAAACAGGAACCCTAACCCTAATCTGTAATAAGGATGGGAAAGCGAGGAGATTTTTTGTGATCCAAACAAGTCTACGAAGTGATTTCTTCGCCTTTGCCTTTTGAAGGTGTAATTTCGGGAATTAACTCGGCTTTTCCTCTTAACCTTTCGTGTCAGTTTTTTCTTTAACCACGTGCTCTCAATTTTTGACTTCAATTCACATGCTAAGCGTTCTAAAGGCAAATAATCGCCTCCTACCTACCATAGTAGCCTGAATTTCAGACGATTACTTCGAATCGTTCTCACTCCCTCAGTAACGTCTGAATCGACCAGCCGTTAATCAGTGCCGTCCAGTGATGTCACTAATCGTTTGCTTTAATTTATGCAAAAAGTAAAACACGATTTTCAACTGACAAACCAAGAAATATCGTTTGGAAATCTCTACATTTATATGATACAGAATTGCTTTACTCTTTTTGATCGTAATTCATATTTAACGTTCCAACTGTCAACTGCATGCAATAATCTGAACGAATCTGTTGTAATTTAATAATCAAACTCTGTGGCACTCACGCAATGAAATAAATACACACAGGAAACACTTCAAGAACACAACAATTTGCTTTCGTTGAAAAGAAGTTATTTGGTCCTTAACGAAGAAAGAAAACAAGAACGAAAAGGATCATTAAACTTGACGGTTTAAATGAAAAGAAAGTCGAATTGTAACTTAAATTTCAGAAAACTTCGCATAAACAAAATCACTTCCGAAACCACAAAGCAGCTCTAAATGAAAAATCTACTGACTTTCCGCTATGATTCTTAATTCTTAGTTCAATTTAACAATTCATAGTTTCGCTTATTTTCAGTGTTTACGATAAAGATTGTCGAAATTTTTTAACTCCACGCAAGCGTGACAGGCATGCGATCCGCTGAATATCAAACGACAATCCCTCTAAAATTTCTCATAATTCTACATAATTATGCGAATGTTTGGACAATCCACCAATCAAAATTTTACCCGGTTTTTGGGTAGTGAAGTCACTGGACGGCATGAACGACCGGTCGATTCAGACGTTGCTGAGGGAGTAACAACGACTCGAAGTAATCGTCTGAAATTCAGGTTACCTACCATGGTTGGTTTTCTTGAAATCGCCAAAATGCAGAAACAAGAATCTAGTCACTGAAAACCTTAAACCAGGGGTCAATTTAATAAAACTTTTACAAGTGTAGGTATTGTGTTAGGGTCCGAAAACACTTGCTACACTTGTAAATTACACTTTCAAAAGTTGTCTTAAATTGATCCCAGGAAAAGTTCTTAATTAATGCTTAGGCGTGTTGGAGGGAAGACGGGGGAAAGTTGCGGGGAAAGGGAGCGATTGCGGTCCTTTCACCTTGTTTTTCGCGCTCGCGGTCTCCAGTTGCGTAGGTGCCCAATTGCTTAACTTTTACAGCGATGGAGTTGAAGATGTCACCCAGTAATCAGTGTTTTTACTAACTTGATACAAATCCGAACTAGAAGTATCGGTATTTATAATATCAAATTAATGCTGAGATTGTCGTGGTGGTGTTGTTTCCTTTGTTTATAGGTGATTAAAAAGGCGAAAAAATGCGAGAGCGAACGATGGAAAGCTATCCGGGAACAGATCTTGGTGGACATGGATGAGGAGATCATGAGAAACATGCATAAAATCAAGAAGGATCTTTTAGGACAAGACCTTGGTGATCTGAGAAGTTGTGTAATGAAATTCCTTGATGTGTCTCCTGTTGACGCGCTTAACGAGATATTTCAATGCTCCATGCAACTTTTTCCAGTCGAACATCAGAAAAAAATTTCAGAGTTCTTAACCATCATCACAAAAGATTCCTTTGGAAGGCAGCTATTTCAGCTGGCTCTTTCTATGAGTTGCAAGCGCCTACTTGGTGATGCTTTTGAACAACTGGTGACAGATGAAGTACGGAAACAAGCGGCCAACACTGTGAACGAAAACCTTGAAGAACCACCCACCCCTCCCTGTGAAGGTTTGTTGAATCTGTCCTTATTCAGAAAGTTACAACGTTATCTTTGATTATCTTGAAGCAAAAAACTCATACCCTTCAAGAATCGGCGAAAGTTTTCAATGTGAGAGTTTACAAAAACGAAATATCATATTGCAAAGTTGCTCTTCCCTCGTTGCCCATGGAAAGAGCACGTTTTTTTTACTAGATTCCTGATTGGTAAGTTCAGCTTAATGTTGGAAGCACTTACCTATAAAAAACAGTTTCCATCTATGCAGCTCCAATGTAATTCAGTTTGGTTTATTTAGCGATGTTTAAGCACCCGACGTTAAGATTATTTTCATAAATCTAAATCGTATCAAAACCCAACAAGAGTGTTTTTTTTTGCTGGACATTGAGATATTTTTCCATCTTTCTTACATAATGGCCCATGCTTACAATAAAGATTTGTGACTGAGGCCTTTCCTAAGTAACAAACAATAAAAGAATGTGTAATTTTCATTTTTCTTTTGACAGACGAAGTCGTTGAAGAAGTAAAGAAGTGGCTTATTAAAGCCGATCACATGGACCTTGCGAGACTGGCACGTATCGAAGGAAATGTAGTCAACAAATTTCCAGGGTTTAACAGCTTCGAGGAGTTTGGTTATGGTTCCTTTCTGAAATTCTTGTCATCACATGAAGAGCTTCAAGAGGCTATTGAGCAAGTTGGTGGGCTGGGTCGATCTGAAGGAAAAGGAAAAAGGCTTGGTTGTCCTGTGCCGCTTGGCAGTGTTTTAGATTTTGTATCTCAGTATGGAACACAATCCTCACATGTAAGTGAGTTGTGAGTGAGATTTCGAGAGATCTGTCTTAACATTTACCGCGCTTTTCAAAATGTGTGTGTGAATATCACCGAATTTGCCTCGATTTTCAAGTATGACCCACGAAATCGAGGCTCTTTTGTTCGCTGTCAATAGATTCAGAAAGGAAACCTTGTGAACACTCGATTATATTTCACAAACCCCGGTCAAAATATGTGAGAATAAACTAGGTATTGTCCGCTTATCCGTGCTTCGATCCACACTTTTAACACCCCTTGGGGTACCCCTCGAAGATCTAAAGTAATCCCATCAAGCCCTGGGGCCTCAGCCATGTGCTCCCAGGATTCCCTTCAGCTTTTCCCGCTGTGCTTCGATCTGTAAACAGGTAAGTACTTTTCGCTCGTATTCTAGCTTTTGTTTCTCTCCCCTTTTGTTGTTTTAGCTACGTGTTTTCTTGTAGGAGTTTTATCTACGGTGATTTACTTGCACTACGAAATTTTCGAGGCCAGATACGATGCCGCCACATCGCAAACGTAAATCACGGTCACATTCTCGTTCCCGCCATTCGGACGATCGGGACTCGGCATCTTCACCCGAACGTCGTCCTTCAATGGACGATGACAAGCTGGAGTCCATTCTGCAGACTCTCCAGTCTCTTCAAAATGATGTTACCAATTGTAATAGCCGTCTGGCCCTTTTTGAGTCCCGTTTTGAACAAAAGAAAACGGCCCTCGAGCCGGATTGTGTTACTGACCACGACGCCAGTTCCCTGCTGGGATCTGATCTCATTGAAGAGGGGGCTATTAAGCCATCAAACGACGCAGAATTGCCAGCAAATGAGGCTACTAAGCCACCAAACGGCCCTTCGAGTTCGGGCAATGTAAACTCAAGTTCTACTGAGAACACCGAAGGCTTCTGTCATATCCTGGAAACCCTCCAAGGATTTTTCCTCATTCTTGGAAAAGAATTTCCGTCGGAAACTAAGTTATGATCAAGTCCTGGATGTTTTGGAAACGAAAAGTGTTCCCTCTGTTGACGCTTTAGCGTCTCGACACTTCGTCCAGCGATCATCAACTAGATCTCAAATCCACGGTCCAAGAAATATGTTCAAGAACGTGATGAGGAAATGGTTTCTGTCCAGCGTTCTTTACTTAACGCGACTGGCCCCTTGTGTCATCTACATGACGCCCTTGAATCGAATGACAATATTAATGTCTCTAATGAGGATGTAAAGCTTATGTTAGAGCAGGCACTGTGCCTTCTTGGCTCTGCTAATTACCAGATTTCAGTATTGAGAAGAAAGAAGGTTTTAGCCTCCATAAATAAGGCCAAGGTTAATTTAGGCGACCTACCTTTGCCTAATGCTAAAAGAATGTTATTTGGGGACGCGTTTCCCTCCCTCGCCTCGAAACAGGCTGACCTGTCACTTTGCCTTTGCAAAACTCTCATCAAACGCAAGGCGCCAATTTTCTAGCTCTACCCAGCGTTTTGGATCTAGGCCAGTCCCCATGCGGAGCTCATTTAACTCTGAGTCTTTTACCTCTTCAAAATATTCTCAGAACGGTCCAAAAAACCGCCTTTTTCGTCCTCAAAGGACGGTCCAACAAGAAGCAACCAGCACCTACCTCAGTGGGAGCAAATAACTTCTGGTCGAGAAGTGTTAATTATTGTAAAGAGTTTCCAAATAGATTTTCATTCAACCCCATTTTAGTCTTGCCCTCCTGTCACAAGGACAAGTTTTTCAGAGACCAAGTTGATCGATGTCGAGGTCCAGGAATTGTTAAAGAAAGGAGCTATTCAGGAAGTCAGTCTTTCAGACCAGGCCTTTTACAGCCGTTTATATCTTGTTCCAAAGAAAGAGAGCACTTACCGGCCCGTGATAGATTTGAGTTCATTAAACCGTTTTGTTCCCCACGTTCATTTTCAGACGGAGGGGCTCCATTGTTTAAAGACCGTTCTCAGGAAAGGGGACCCCATGACAAGTATAGATCTAAAAGACGCATATTTTTCCGTAGCCCCCTTGCACCTAAGGGCTCTTCAAATCCTGCTCATACAAACCCTGAGGGACCACCAGTTCGACTACAACTGTCCAGTATTTCTCAATCCCCAGTCTCGAGCAGAGCTAACCTGGTGGCTAAACAATTTACCCAAGGTCAACGGCAGCCCTGTTTCTCCCCCACCACCGAATCTCACAATTCTCTCAGGTGCTTCAATGCAAGGTTGGCGTGCCACGTGTCAGGGCAAGTCCACAAACGGCAAATGGTTCAGTCAGGAATCAATCCAGCACATCAACCTCCTGGTATTAAAAGCAGCATTTCTTGCCCTCAAAACATTCCTCAAGGACCAGTCTCACAAGGTTGTTCTATTGAAGTTGGACAACTCCACGGCAGTAGCTTATCTCAACAACAAAGGAGGCACCCACTCAGTTCCTCTGATGTCCTTAACTCTGGAAATCGGACATGATGTCTTCAAAGAAACATCTTAATTTCAGCACAGCATGTTCCTGGAAAAGAAAATACTGTAGCCGACTCAGAGTCTCTTACCTTCCTCGACTCAACCGACTGGCAACTCGATCCAACGGTAATCACACCCTTCCTTACAAATTGGAACACGGATCTTTTCGCCAGCCGCTTAACAGCACAGCTACGCCAATATTTAAAGGCCTACGAGTCAGCATGGTCCCGCTGGAGTCGCTGGTGTGCTAAAGGGAAAATTAATCCAATTTCAGCCCCACTCTCAAAAATTCTTGACTTTCTAGCAAATGCTTTTTCAGATGGTTTGGTGTACCGGTCCATAAATGTCCTGAGTTCAGCTATTTCATCTACACATTCCAGGATCGACAATTTCCTTGTCGGTCAACATCCTCATGTCACCAAACTCATTAAGGGTGTACTGAATTCCTGCCCACCAAAGCCACGGTACTCATATACTTGGGATGTCAAGAAAGCGACAGCTATCAGAAGGAGTTGTTTTCTCCCGTACTTCTCCAAGAAAGCGTGGCAACCTTAATCAGTTAGCTCAGGCCTTCCTAGCTCGCTTTCCCCACAATAAAAAATTATGCCCTGTTGAGACCTTTCGTCATTACCTTAAGAAGACACGCTCAGTTCGCCTCACAGTACCCTGCTCCAAACCAGACCCTCTGTTGATCTCATATCGAAAGACGAAATTTCGAAAAGAACCGTAACTATTGGGTGCTGGCTCCGCCTTACCATTCAAGATGCTGGTATCAATACGGACATTTTCAGGGCCCACTCTGTTCGTTCAGCTTCAACTACTGCGGCTGCCAGTGGCAGTGTTGGTCATGTTCCTCCACCTTCCAGATGTTCTACTACGAACCAGTGTTCAACTGAAAAATATTGCCAAACTGTACTCAATTAATCATAGCCATGTCCTAGGGAATCTTTTCCCCTGCGTTCAGGCTTTGCCATTCAGTGTATTTAGGATCTTTTTTTCAGAACTTCTATTTCTGAAATGCCTTTTGTTGCATGTTTCAGACATTAAAGTTGTGTTCATACCTTGAACCTCATAAGTTGTGTTTATACCTTGGTATTGAAATCTACCTAGTTTATTCTCATATATTTCGACCGGTGTTTGTGAAATATAATCCCAATTATACAGGTAGGCCGCTTCGTGGCCCTGGTATAATTAGAGTTATCGATAAAGTGGGATGTGGAAAACTTATAGCCGCGGAGAAATCCTGTTTCGTGTAGAAAGCCACGTTTTCGCGGGCGAAGAGTTTGAAAGCAAGCGAAAGTAATACAAATTCCCGTGAATTAAAGCTATATGTTTCTCAGAATATTTGGATTTCTTGGAACTTTGCGGTGAACCGATGTTTTGGCTAAGGCCCTGTTTACAAGGAGGGAGGGTAACGGTGGTGCTAGGGTTACCCTAACACTCGCACATTTTTTCTTTTTTTACACGATTAAGTGCGAATGGAAGATTTAGGATGCGCAGTAGACTCGCAAGGAATTTTGGATATGCTGAAATGGGAGATTTAGAATGCGCAGTGGATTACCACGTGCTTTCTTCTTACACTGATTTTCAACTGCAATTTGAATAATTTGCAATCTCGTTAAAGTATAGAAACAAAAGGTCTAATTAGAAAACAAACAACTTTACACGTGCTTTATACTTTTGCAGTTGGCCGAGACTTGTCGACCGAGAACCGAAGGCATTCATGATGAATTCATCACAGTCGATGCCAAGGCAGAATAAAAGAAAAGTTCGAAATCGCTGTATATTTGGGTGAAAACAGAACACGTTAAGACTAGCAAAATAGCGTAGCATATGGACAAAGAACTTGCATCACTGGAGCAAGCAGCCGTTTAACATCTTTCAGGCATATTTTCACAAAATGCAATATTTTATAAGTCTGATATGTTGACTATAGTGATTAGGGTTAAGTACTGAAAATACTAATTTAAGCACTAACCATACCGATTAGGGTTAACGGTTAGCTTCTATTTTGGTTTCGGGTTTACGCTATAATATTTGGATTAAATCACCAACTTCCAGAGAAACCATAGTGGTCTAGTGGTTAGAATAGTGGTATGCATATGCTCCGGGATCGAATCCGCTCATATTCGAGTGAATTTTTTTTCCTTTAAAATATTCGAGTAAATTTTTTTCCTTTAAAATTGAAGAGACTTACACTTTGACAACATTTGTTGATCAGAAACTAAGTCTCTCCGTTTATTCTAAATCGACGTATGATAGTTTGGTCTGGCTGAGATTCTTTGATTTGTCAAAATTATTGAAAAAAAAAAAATAGTAGACTGCTGGTAATTTAGTGTTTTGAAAATCTTGACCGGTTACCGGCCATGTAGCCGAAGCCTTTATTATTTTACAAGCAAATTTCCTTCTGTTCTAAGAGGGAATCACACAAGGAGCATCAGAACTCTGAGCCCTAAATTTATGTATCATATTTATCAAAAATTGAACATAACTGCCCTCCAAAATTGTTTAAATTGGCATTTGATTCGTGACATGTTTGACCAAGTTAATGTTGTGTTTTCATTGTCGTTTCTCAAACCTATCTTGTAGTGCAGATCATAGTGGAACAAATTTCCTTAAACTTGGCATATGAAATAAGCAGTCTTAAACTCAATAATTTTAAGTTTCGTGGAA